TTATTTTCACAGACGTAACAAATGTATAACGCGAGGTAAAACAAGACATATTCAGCAAAGTTACTGACTAGTAAGAATTCTAAAATACCCGGATCAAAAATTCAATATAGCGGGCTTTATAATTTAAATTAAAAAGAATAAGCATCAGAATTTTTTAATTCAATTTGAAAAATATTTTGACTGCTAATAATCGCTACAAGTTGCCAGTGATATAAGCGGAAGATATCAGTGAACGATACTGTTAAATGTGAATCATGCTACTCCGATGCATGATTATTTCGTGCGCAATAGCTCTTTTATCCCAAAATACAGAAACATCAAATGAAAACTACTTAAAACATTTAATTTAATGCCTGGAAATGATTGCAACTTGGATTTATCACAAAACGAATGAAGAACTGGAAAATGTTCACATAAAATATTTTCCACAATGCAGCATGAAAACTACCATAACTATAAATACACATTTAGTCAGTAAATTATGGAAATATATTACAGAAAAATATTATCTAAAAATTGACAGAAATGTTACTATTTAACAGTTATAATGTCTGCATGCCGTCCACGAACCTTTGCAATTCAGCGTTTGGAGTGAGCATAGAACTGACATCCATTTCTTCAGCTGGTACTTCCTCTTTTACTTCTACACAATTCAGTCCTGATTTATATCGTAACTTCGTTATTTTCACAGTGGCATTGTCATCAATTTCATATGAAATTAATGCACAACCAACAACTTGTCCACCATTCAATTTCCCCGTTAGATACCAAATATTTTTCCGGATCGCTGCTGGTCCAATTGTATTTCCATGACAGTAGTACTGTCGATGTAAGATATAATCGTAGTCCTGTAGTAAATGACAAACTTGTCCGAACTGCTGGATACGTCCCGTGATCTGACCATCTTTTACAAAGTATTTCCGAGTTTTCATGTGTGCTGCGAATCTTGAAGTCCAGTATCCTAAAATATATCAACAATTCGAGTGTATAAATCAGATTATAAAAAAGTCATATTTTTTGTTCTCACTTATAATTTTATTTCATTTACGATAACACTTTCTAAAAGTTTTGATTCATTGGTTTTGAACAAACCAGGCAATAGAAGGATTTCATATGATAAATGAAGACAGAACGACCCATTAAAAATTCAATTGACAGACTGCATTCATTAATATAAATGAAGAAAAGAATGTAACACACGCAGCACTTATATCATAATGAATTCAAATTTTATATGCACAGTGTATTCAAAAAAATTTTGAATTCAAATGAAAAGAAAAAAGTAATAACTATAGACTTACCCAAATTATCGGACGTGAGATCCCTTAACTTGACTGTCTTCATATCGACAAGGAAAGAAATCTTTCCCCCTTCTTTTCCAAGGAATATCTTTGGCACTTTTTGACAGACGAATGCATTACTGAATAAAATGATCAACTTGATTAACTTAACAAAAATTATTGATTTTGGAAATGCTTTGAGGAAAAAGCCAAACAACTTCATCATCCTAAGAAGTTGAGAAGTTATTATAAAATCTTTATGTACAAAAAAAAAATCACTTTTCAGGCTCGAGCAAAGTCGATATTGGTATAAGACAAACTGTATTGTAATAAATAAAACTAAATGCTGCACAGTCGCTCGTGGATGCTTGTGCTCGTGGTTCTTTTGGTTCTCTATAAAATTTTTATTGAAACCGATAGGCGAATAAATTTTCAGCGGAGTGATAAAAACTGATAGCAACAGTTAAACAATTATTTCCGATGATCAATGAAAATTCTTTTTTGATTTTACACATAAACTACTGATGGTGATATAAAGTCCCAAATCTCTATCACCATCAGTTGTACTAACGTAAAATCTCTGTTGACCAGCAAAACCTTACTTGAAGTATTCGGTCTGACTCTTGTTGCTAAAATTATTTTCCTGGTATGCTTTTGAACGACTAGTCGATGAGGAAGATCTTGTACTCTCAGCACATCTACCAACTTTTTTCTCCTATAAAATCCTATCTGAGGCAGTAGCAGACATTTAAAGTAACTTGATAAAGATGTGTGGGCAAATATTTCCGGCCAATTTACTCATCCTTATGAAAGCATCGTTCAAAAGATTGAATGATAAAGAAAAAATTCGAAAAAAAAGGAAAAAAGCAATGAAAGCAAATTAATTGACTAATAAACTCAAACAAATCAACAGTAAAGAGGAAAAATGAGTAAAGAATAAAATTTACTAAGACATCGCAGGAACTAGATGAACCATTCGTATACATCGCCATATTTCCCGTGGAATACAGCAAGGTATTTGAGAACGTAATACGATTCCGAAACTCACGAAGTTCATCATAAAGTGGTGTCACTACATCTGTCACAACACCTCTTACTTCACTGACCACTTCATGTACAATCTCTTTCACAACTGGTACCATCTGAGCACGTACTTCAGCAGCAACTGCTGACTTTAACTCCTCACTTATTCCAATAGGTGCCACGTTTTGACCATTTACAATTTGCGCACTCAACTGATGAATTGCAAAGCCAAAATTTGCCATAAGATTATCTGAAAGTGATACCATTTATTCGTATCCTTTACTGACACGATTATACAAATGTTTTCAACTCCTCACTTCCTCTCGTACTATATTTTCTTCTATTTTAAAAGACCTATAAATTAAATCCCAAAAAAATTGAATAACACTACAATGGGAACATTCAAGAGACAACCAAACTATCGGAGCGGTATTGCACATTTCATATCGATTATGATGGATAAGCACGTAGTAAAAGTATAAAGTTAAGTGTGCTAAAGCCGCCGTAAACAGAAGATAAGACAACACGGATATTCTCCTCTCCTCTCATCCTATGATAACAGAAATGGAAATAATGAAGGGATGGTAGTTACAGGATAGGATCTAAAAAGGTACGTTACCTGGGGTTCATCATCTCATCCCAGCCACAACCATTACTCATCCAGCCATTCTGCGATTTCCGCAGAAAAATGTTTTCTGAAAATAATACTATCCTCAAACGCGCCACACTGATTCAACGTATCAACAACACACAAATGCCAATAACGTCGTACACACACATACGCACGCGTGCAGCTACAGTCACACTCATGCATTCGTGTAAACCTTTACTGCTTCATCCAGGCAGAAATAAACACACTTCACACCACGACACACACACATACATATCATACATACACACATACACACACACACACACACATATATACAAATGCGCACATATACATATATCATCAGCACAGAAAACATTTTAGTGGCGGCCAAAATCGATAAGGGGATGATGGGATTTAGCGTTTGTTAGAAATGTCTGTATGAGTTCGTTTAATGGTAATTGCGTTTAATTAAGTGAAATGAAAGGTATGTGAGTGTCAGATTAATTACTGTATAAATTACTTAAATAGGTAATAGAACGGTCGAGAAATAGCAATAATGAATGGGGGAAGAGAGGAAGTATATGTGTATTTCAAAAGGCTACATATGATGTGATATGGAATAATTGCAATAATATAGAGATGGCTGTCTCTCACTCTCATCATTGCATTTTACTACAATCAAGCGTGCATCTCTTCGATAATTACCATTATGTGATAGATGGGAGCAATTACAGTTAGGCAAATTGAGAATTGATAGGTGTTTATCATGCACAATAGTTATATTTTGATATTAAATCATTACCTTCAATTTAACACATCATAATGCATCAAGAAAGTTTTTTATTCTACATCAAAATTAAAAGGGAATACGTTGACGCATCACTGTGAGAAATGTACAGTGATTGCAATGGCAAATAATATCAGATGAAAGAAAATCTTACAGAATTATAAAACTATTTTAAGTTGCTGTACAATCTATGAAAACTGAAGTAGATAAATTATCATCTATTTGATCATAAAATTAGTTCATCTATATATTCCACTAACTGCTCAATCGAGTGGATAAAACAGTGTAATTTAATGATCATCACCGACAGCCTCATAAGATATACCGAGATCAGGGTCCAGAATAATCACAATACAAAGGCCTTAATTGTTTGAGTAATTATTGGTTGTGGCATTTATTTTGTTTCGTTTGTTTGGCTGTGCAATATTTTTAATGTCACGAATTTCTCGATGAACTACATCCGCACTCCTGCTGAATATAATTGAAAATCGATTACCGCTTTATAAATATACGATCAGTTCATGATGGTTAAATTGCCACAAGTGAAATTATTTCACTACTTAGCATATTAAACAACTGGTCACTGTATACAACTATAAATATTCTTACCATTTTCTCACGTAGCAAAAGATGCACCACAGATTGATCTTTATATGTAATCAAAATATGAAACAAAAGTCTTCCTACTTTAAAAAATCGTCATAAACAATTTCCTCAAGCACAGATTTGCTATGCAGATCCAAAGGTGCGATATCGAAAAATATCATCAGATGGTCTCCGCGTCTTTGAGTATGTAATGCCGATAAAACCGTCTCATTGCCAAATATTTTATTCACACTTCTACCGCCAACCCGACTCTACAACATTCATTAAAAGATTTGGATCTTAGTAAATTTCACAAAAATTTTTATTCTAGAATAGAATTTTTGCTTTGGAAGATTATTAACCGGTTAGATGAATACTAATAATAAATATCGACAAATAATGTATTGTGTGTTGCGTCTAAAAAAAATATATATGTAAGTCATAAGAACAGAGGACATAATTCTTTCTTAAAATCTTACATAAACATAAAAATGTTCGGGTCGCTGTACAGCACTTGCTGACGATTGTTGTATTGGAGAGGAAGTAATGGTATTTTCAACAGAAAAATCCTTTAACTCAGATGAATTTCTCTGCTGCCCTTCTCGATATTCTGCACTACATACTTGATATAAGAATTCACCAAGATGCTCCACTGCAAGTAAAAAAAAAGTCACAAAATACATCAGTATCTCCAGTTCAGTTGTGCCAAAAAAAGGTTGGATTTATAAGCAAGCTCCCAAAAATGATACCATAATTTGAAGCAAAAAGAAAATAGAATTAGATAGTTAATTTAACTGTTAATAATCAGAAACATACTCGTAGTATCCTCTCTTGTTCGAATATAACGTCGATTTAATAGCGATGGTGCTACAGTCGGTCGTTTGAATAACGATTTTGCAGGTAGCAATTCGGCTTCAATCTCAATAAATTCACCATCTGTACGTGTAACCGCAAAATCAATATCTTCATCGAGCTGGAAATTTCTGCACTGTTAAAAACTGTTAAACGAATTTTGTATAATAAAATTCTTTATACACGATAGCTTTGCTGGTATCATAACAAAACTAGACAAGTATGAAATGCACAATGCAATAAGCAGTAAAATAAATGATCTAAAGTTATGCAGAATGCAAAATGCATACAAAACTTACTCGTCTTTCCAATTGTTCGCCCATCCCTTCATCGGGAGTTAAAGGTGATGATGGATTTTCAGCAAGCCATTTGTGCATGCGATCTTTTAGTGTACATGCATTAAGTGGTGGCACAAGAGGGTGACTGTCCTGGATAAATCTTTTATAGCAAAGTTCCAAAACATTTCACAACATATTAAGCATATTTTAAAATGGCCTTGATGATCTTCAATAATACTACTTACCAAATTTGCAATAGAATTTGGTCGTGTAGGAGCTGAAATACTGCTTGATGAGTCAGAAGTGTCCGTAGTATCAGAAGTATCAGTGGTCGAAGAGAAAGAATCAGAATCTAAAGCAGTTGAATATTATATTATGCTCATTTGCAATTTATTTTTTGCACATTAACAAAAGAAAAACCTGTACTGCTGCTTGAAATATCCCGATGTGAGTGAACTCGTGAACTGACCGTACCATTAGCCGCTATAAAAATTTTAATTATTGAGATAATTCTCCCTAAAAATCTTTAAACAAGATGTATCATGTTAGGTTGTTCTAGTTGCTGCTTCATCTTTTAGGAGAATGATGTTAACCAAAAAGAATGTTCTCCTGTTTCTTCAATAACTTGAATTAAAATTTAGTAAATCTATTTCTTAAAAATTGAAAAGTTGCAATTTTAGTAAGGAACTGACCACTAACATGGTTGGTAATACTGCTAGCAGACGTGTTTGCTCCAGAAATCGATTCATCATGTCTGAATAGATGATATTTGAAACGAAAAAAAAACAATAAGGACTAAATGGAAAAAATTGTTGAACCTTGTATGAAGATCGTTCTCATCGCCTTCACCACTGCCTTCTGGTGAATTGCTATCAGGAGAATTATTATAAGAACGGTCATGAACATCACTACGAGGGCGTCGTTTTCTTTCTGAAGCAAAATTGCTAACGGTGGAAAATACTTTAAATACAAAGTGTATCCAGAATAATGAACTGTATAAAAATCTTAAGCAAACTTTCGTAGTCATATGAGCCTTGAACACGTTGGCGTCGATTGGCAGCTTGTGCTTTCATGCCTGCTTCAATACTCTTTTGCAATGCCTCTACGTTACTTTGTTGATGAAACATTTCCATTGCTCTTTGCTGCATTTGTTCATAAATTTGTCGATCCGGCCAAATCTTTAATGATAAATCTAGATAGTGCAAATGATCAAAAAGATTCAAAAGCGTTGAAGTTATTTGGAATAAAAATTTTGGACAGTTTTTTGAAATACAATATATGAAACAACGGCCAACTTTATTAATTAAAGCATCAAAGTTCGGATCTGGACGAAGCGATCGTTTAGACACCAATTTTTTTCGACACGTAGGACATTCCTTATTGCCTCGAAGCAACGCAGTTGTAATACACTCGCTACAAAATCGATGCAAACATTCCTACAAGAAAATATTCGAATAAGATAGATCATAAAATATTCGAGTAAGATAAGATAGATTACGAAAGGAAACCAAACTTTATACACAAATATGTTGGGGGACTGTTGATTCCCAGGGAATAAAATAGTTTAAATATTCGATATTTAAATCAAAATATAACTTTTGTTGTCATCGTTGTTGTCAGTAGGTCTAAACATATTGGACAACAGAGTTCGGATGAAAGCATTCGCGTACTGATTCGTATCTCCGTCGAATCCGAAATGGCTTTGTGTGGACGCCGGTACTGCAAATGGAAAAGAAGAGTAAACGAGATCTTCCAAATTAACAAAAAATGATCCTAACATTTTTTGTGCCAAACTATTCGATTCCTTAAGTGGTTCAAAAAGTGCTAACCACAAAATGGATAAACTGAAAAATAGATGGAAATTTGAAAAAATCTTTAAATTCAGAATTAGCTGATGAAAATTTGAAAAAACTTTAAATTCAAGAAACAGCTATTTTTTAATGTTTATGGCATAGTGAACTCTGTCCTCATCCTTTCTATTCAGATATAAATAAAGATAAGACAAGACGACACCCGATCATATTCAGTGAGTTCGAGAGTTTTTCCACCAGTTACCGTATCTGGTGCACTGCCGTTATTCATAGTTGATGGTGTTGAGATGTATTTCCTCCACAATAAATACAATCAATGAATTCCATACAATCAATTAACTGATATCTGCAAGGACAAAAGACTTTTATTAGAATTCAATAATTTAACTTTCTCTTTCATCTTACCGTGATAACAAAACTTTCTCTTTCATCTTACCATGACAACAGATGTATTTTTTGGATTATAGAAGATAGATGCTACTGCTGTTAATAAGCAACAAAGTTCCAACATCTAGAAGATCATAAGTCTCTATTTCGGTTCAAAAACTGTTGAGTTTCCCGGGAATTTTGAAACTTACTATATACAGCAACAAAAAGACTCCTAGTCCAACGAGAATTTAGAACAAAAGAACTTGACCTCACATCTTAGCGATACGATAATAGAAAAAAAGTTCCAGCACATCTCAGATTTCACACCTTAACACATCATCCCGATTATGCATTCAATCGCATTAACCTTGATCATTGTGAGGTGTATGAGATTGTCCGGTGTGCTCGTTTATTCATAGGATTGTCCATCTCGTTCGAAAATCGCCTACACTGACATAGACACGTCAAACACCTGCCCGATTAACCCCACGTCATCTCGAACCAACACTTGCAAGAAGGAACAGGCACGGGTGCAACATGCAACTAACGAGGAAAATACTCATGCGGCGGTTCTGTATGGTGAGAGTGCGTTGTTATGGTCACTTGTTTTTCAGGCTTTCATATAATAATTCAAGATTCCAAAATATTTCATAGTATCACCTGATTTTATACTTATTATTATTACGATGTGACGATTTGATTTTTGGTGCGATATTTTCTAGTTAATCAATACTTCCACTAAAGCTGATCTTTATGTCTCGACGCAAACAGGACTGTAATTGTAGCACTCAGAAATTTAAGTAAGCAGAGAAGATTCGGACATATTTATTTTCACTTCTATTCACAATCGGAATCAATAACAGCAAAAATAAATACAAATCTATTTGACCGATGATCCTTTTTGGGATTCAAAAATTGCGTGACTATCAAAAGACAGTATGAAGAACTTACCCGAGTAATCCTAACAATTGATAAAGACATTATCATCCAATTACTTTATTTTGTTATATTTTGAACAATTAATCATTGAACTTTTTCTGTTCAATAGGTTTCATAGAGAAAGCATGAAGACATTCCGTTTCAGCAGCATTATTACCATCTGATGTACGTTAGTTATCATCGTGAAGGGTGAAACTGATATTCAGAATAGAGGTATTTTTTTTCACTTTATGGTTTTTTTTATGATGGGATCAAATGAACCAACCAACAAGAAGAATGGGGAAAATGAAGAAGTCACAATAACAACGAAAAAAGATGAAAAGAAGGAAAATGATTCAGACAATAAGAAGGACAAAGAGAAGGTTCTCACTGATTATTTGTTTTAGATTATTCTGTTAACAAATCTGGATGCTAATATTCGGAATCGCTGCACATGCACGCTCCATCATATGACTTGCAAATTGATGTCATCTAATTTTTACTTCACCTTTGCATCTTGTATCATTCTTCGCATGAATCATACTTACAAAAACAACCGCAGAATTGCAGAACTTCCCCCCACTATTACACATAGGTAGTAAGTATTGTTAGGCATCCCATTATTTTGTGTCATATCACTTGTATTAAAGCATTTCTAAAAAATATTTTAGAATTAAATTATGTTTATAGCGTCGAGATTCCGTAACAGGTTCACCTTTGGATACAAGTTCATCATCAAACAGTTCTATAGATTCGGATGAAGTTGATGCAACGGAACATAATTCAAAAAGTACGATGACTTCCGAAGCATCAAAACTGCAAATGGATAGGTGACTTTACTTATTGAATTCTATATTATCACGAATATTTTATCACATGTTCTCTTTACATATATCAAGGTGTGCTAAGAAATGTTTTATCGATATCTCCGAAACTTTTAGCTGCATTTCTGGTTAGTAGAATAATTGAGAGCAAGCAGTATCTTAGTCAAGCTTCATAATTTCCCATTACAAACATGCGTTTTTACATATTTTTCAAAATTTAAGTCATGAAGTCAACGATGCTGTCAGTTCAATGATAAAGAGAATCTCTATAATTTCAAATACGGAATCAAATGAAGTATCTAAATCAATTATAAACAACGACAAAAAGGATAAGCAAAGAATGAATATGGATAATAGCGCTGATGAACAGAATGGTTTGTATGCTTAGGGTGCAAATATTAGTATTAGAACTTGTTAGTCCTGAGTGAAGTTTTAAGTTTTTAAACGAATGGTATAAAACGCTAAAAGTTTCCAATGCTTGCAATCATATTAGGACAAGTATAACGTTGAAAATCGCTTGTTTTAGTAGGCTCAGAAAGTAATGCAAAGAAGTCGAGGAAGCGCAATCGGAAGCAAGGTAGAAAAGTAAGCCACAAATACTCTTATTTTTTTTAAGCAGGAGATTGAAACATCTGGCGTCTTTTATTTCTTTATCTTTTGTAGACGTAGATTATATGATTCATTCATTTAAAAGGAAAATTTATTTCGGTTGCGAATTTAAGTTTATTTGATTATCCAAAAATTCTCTTCAGAGCAAGCCACACATTCTATCTGATCAAAATAAAACGTTTTTCAATAAAGGAAATCGCACAATCGATGAAGACGTAAAAGAAAATACACTAGAGGTTAATTGTTGGCTATGTTTTATAGGTTCTTATTTCAAGGGTTTCATAAGAAATTCATCATGCAAACCAAGTTTTATTGCTGATTTGCTCATCTGCTTTAGATGTGAAGATAGAGTTTTAGTCTATTACCGATTTACTAAGCACTTTTCATATTTAGTTACACATGAGTGATGGTTTGTCAGATTCACAGTGTGTAAAGACATATGATGATTATTGATTTTTTTGAAGTATACAGCATATTTATTTTTATATGCAGAATTCCATTACATTCATAACTATTAAATGAAGAAAAGGCATCTCATTTGTCAGAAATTGTACTTGTAACTTTGCGAAGTAATTTCAGATACTGAAAGATAGCGTTACGGACACTTCTCCGAAATTAGGAACTTGGTTTGCTTTTATTTTGCATTTACTTGATTTTGGGAAAAGCTTTTTTATATCCAGAAAGTTTTCTATTCATGATAAAAGATATTCTGATTGATTGCTAGATTCGAAAGTTTCAGGGTGGTAGGAAAAGAAGTTACGAGCATCGATGGAATGGAAACGTCGAATTTGTTGTATATGATTGATGCCAGCAATAAGGTAGGATGATATTCAGATCGCAATACATGCATTGAAATTATTGCACGTGTTGGTAAATTATTTTTCCACATTGCTGAATTTTTCTCAGTAACAAGTTTTATTAGTGAACGATTAGAAGCGAAGCCAACTTCTTCTAAAGTGTCTTCATATAATCTTCCACATTACTTTTTGCATTATATATACTTTGCAAGGGATACCACAGAGTTTCATGCGCGCACAATGATGTTGTCTTTGACAGCTTAACGAAGCTAGCTGTCAAAGAGACATGAGAAGTTCGACATGAGAAGACATGAGAAGACTGAGAAGGAGTCACAGCTATCAAATACATTAAATGAAACTTTCATAAAGTCAAATTGTGTGCACAGAGTATCGAATATACATTATTAGTTTACAATTCTGAAGTCGTTTGCTGCTTCAGTTCTTTTTTTACAAAATTTTTTAATTACACTTCCAAGACATCAATTTAACTTTCAGTTTTCACAGCGTTTCACTTATTGGATACGGAAATTTTATATCGCGGCTATTGATGGTAACGTGGAGGAATTCATGATTAAGTTCACTTGCATTATACAAATTATAAAAAAGAAAGCTGGTAGTGAACATTATAAACGTATGAATGGACATCAGTTAAAGGAGCATGCGATGAACGTTAGTAATAATCAGTTAATAAGCGAGTTAAGATGGGAAATGCAGACTTCTATTCAGGCTTATAACTTTATGCAACTTTTCAGTAGTTGATTGAATGCAGATATGAAGGAAAACCTTATGGTTTTAAAAAACTAACTCTGGTATTGAGTTCTTCTTTGACTGGAGTCAGACTGGAGTGTATGCTGGCATATGAATACGAAGTGTCATAGATTTACTATGTACATCCATTGATATTTCAATGATGTACATCCATTGATATTTCAATGAAACATTAAGTCAGTATCATAATTTGTTTTTTGACGAAATTAAAAAATATAAATATTTAACTTTTCAGAATGTTATGTATGCGTTCTTCGATAAATCAGAGAATACATCTATTTTACATCACCTTGCACCAACCAAAAATGCTGATCGTCCTTGTAGCATGAGAAACCATGGTTATTGCAGGTTTAAATTACTTTCCAATTTTCTTGACAGCGTATTCAAAATGTGATAAATTATTCTTTACTACAGTTCATAGCAGTTGAAAGGGGATGTGGCGAGGCATGAAAAATCGATTGTGTAGTATATGGCAGTAAGAAAATAATCATGTTTGTAAGAGTTAGGAGTGCCAGTTCTACTTTTATTTAGTAATAATATCTAGAAATGATTTTCTAAGCTGTGTTACGGATAACAATGAATTAATTTTTATAAATCCTTTACAATGTTTTTCAGACTGATTAAAATAATTTTGAGTATGTTACCCTGGAAAAATCGAAGAATTTTACTTGCTACATCTACAAAAAGAACAGGAAAAACTGCTCTGCATTTGGCAGCTGCTACAGGGCAGTCTTGTCAAATGCAAGCTTTGATGGATTTTGGTATGCATTTTATCACATGAATTTGCTTGTTGTTTATAAGTAGGGCGAAATGGAATGAAAACATTTAGGACTAGATAATATTTTATGAACTACTCTAAAATCGAACGAATCTTTTCTTTCATTGACTCAGTAATATCGCGAGACTTTTCTCTGGCTATGAAATATTAATCATGATTTTTTAGGAGCTTGGCCAGATTTTTTTGATCATTCTGGACGTACACCAATACATTATGCGATTATGAGGAATAATTTAGAAATGGTACATTCGGTTCCAGTGTTACAAAAGATTTTTTTCATTTTCACTGTCTTAATTTTGCAGATTTTTTTTTTTGTATTTTATGAGGTGACATTATAATTTTTTGAAAGCAGAACAATTCATATTTCTTATAGTTTTATCGTGAAAATCTATAAAAAAATAACAAAACAGCTAAAGTTATGTCAGATTGAAAAGAAATTATTTTATAGCGAAGAATGTTAAAAGAGAAAGAGTAACTTCAATTGTAGGTGAAATTGCTTTTGTGGTACGGAGCGGACATATCATTGAGAGAGCGTTCAGCGACGCCACTCCAACTTGCAGGCTGTTCACCAACAACTACATCTGTATGTTTTATCATACAAATTATGCTTGTATATATTCCGCTTATGGAATTTTATGGTGATGAAATTACTAAAAATCGAAGATGAAAGAAACAGCTGGCCATTCCAGATATGTGAATATCTGCACGCACGAGTGACTGCATTGGAAAAAATATTTATGCAATGGGTAAGGAAATATGTGAGGGGTGTTTGGACACCGGAATATGCTATTTCCGATTTGCACTTTTCAAGGTTATCAAAAGCATGCGATTCAAGAAGAGATGCACCTCGGAATTTCATAACCAAAAATGTTAGTTTTTTTTTTTTAATTCATGTTCTCATCACTTGTTAATAAATTGCTTTTTCTAACTGAAAATTTTTCCCCTACTATTTAGCTACAATTTCTACATTATTTCATATAAACGGGATCTCAAATCGAACACAGTGGCACTCTCGGATTGGTATGCAATGGGACCTCGTTTATAAATATCCTGATGCATATAAATATCGTATATAAATATGTGACACTTTGGGCATCTTGCAATTTGTGTGGTGGGGATATTTTTTTAGTGTCATCCAAACTCATCGTTTTATCTGACCAGCGCATTTTTTAGCGTAAAATCCATATAAATATTTCGAGAACACGCACTGCCAATCCACAGCTGAAGAAATGTCCACTAATGGTAAGTTTCTGTGGGTCAGGAAATTTAATTTGTATTTTTAATACACATGTTTAGTTAGCAGTATTTTTCATAGTCTGTTGATAATTCGATGCGAATTTTTTTTAGTTACTGTTCATTGTACCAACATTCTACAAGGGGGAAGACAGATTGGCGGATGCTTCCAATCCGCAGATATTCTGTGCTAAACTACAAAACGTAAATGGAGTTATTGTTAAATTACTTCCATCTAGACCACTGTAAGTTCTTTACCAACTTTTTTTCTCATTCATGACATTCAGTTATATGACCTTGTTATATAAGTTTGTATAAACTAACTTATACGAAGATCATATAAACTAATTAATTTTGCATGTTTTTATCGAATTAATTTTGAGTTTACAAAATATCTAAATATATGGGCTGATTGAGTCACATTAATTTGTGATTGCAAGATGATTTTTATGTCTATTTTTAATCGTTAGTTCATGTTTTAGGCTAAGTTGTTCAAAATGGAGGACTGACATTAGATCAGCTCTCGAAAAACCTCATAATGGGTATTTTTACGTCTATAAACTTCCAGAAAATATTGAAGTCGGTAAGTTGTATTATAAAATTGTATTGCTTTTGAGGAACATATAAAATTCTTAACTGAAATTTACAATTTTTCAGATTCATATACGCTTCATTTGATGGTTGAATTAGAGGAGTTGCGTTTTCAAGCTCCCCACATAACGCTTGCAATACAGGCTTTTGCATGTGGTCCACCAGACTTAGAGCATTATAATGAATTGCGAGGTCTCGTAACTCACTCAAACAATAAAACAAAAATGGACTGAGGTTTATATATACATACTATAAAACAGAATTTTCTGATTTTCCGGAATAAGGTACTTGATAGTTTGTTTTTTTCATCTGGCTTTTTTAGTAGTAAATAGTGATCTTTTGTACTGATGGCTTTTAATATTGAAAAAATGGTTTTTTGAGTATAAAAGTTGATAACTTTGTAAGAACTACTTGATTTATGTTACGGAATTGAACGTTTGTTATACCATATTTTAGTATCACTTATGGATATGGTTATATTGCTCATTTGATAGATTTTTTATCTTCAGGCTGTTTTTTGTACATTAATCAGAAGGGATGGTTTTTATACTTTCTATCATTTTTTTCTGGGCTTTCTTTATTTTAAAAATCATATCTGTTGTGAAATTCATTTAACTTTTTGTAGTTCTAACTTAAACGGCACTATTATTGGTTTCATATTACTGACATAGTTTTAGTTTGTTATACGTGTATCTGTTATAATAATTGTATCGGTGATAAGTGTTACTCTTATTTGGTAAGTCCTTATTTCACTGATATATTTTTTGTTACGGCTAATACTTGTATGGGTTAGAATGTTTTTTGTTTGTATCCATTGTATGAATTCGATGAAGTTGAAGTCTGCTTAATTTCAGTTCTATTCATTTCGTGCTGATCTTTTCAGACAAGCTTGTAATTTCTGTTTTGCTGAAAGTTACAGAAGGTTTTGGTCATTTTATTGGATTTATGCAAAAGAAATTCTAGAAGCACTCTTATGTAATTGGCATCATTTTTGTTATTGGGTGTGGAAACTTCACGTAACTCTTACTTAATTTCATGTATCTCACTGTCAAAACTTATTAATTTACTAACAATTTAAGAGAAATTTAATAGTAATTTAAGGATTTCTTGAAGCTTTGTTCACTTAAGCCAATCAATGTTTTCTACAAGAAAATTTTTGTATATAGCAGGAAATTTTGGAATGATCGACGGTCGTCCCAAAATTTCTTATCATCTATTTCTTGTAGAAATATAGCTCATCTTTTACCTATTACTCTTTTTTGGTATTTGCGAAGTTGATTTCAAATGTAAATAAAACGCTTTTTTTCCACAGTACTTATATTTTTGTATATGGTAAATTTTCCGACTTAGAATAGTCTTGTTTTTGGAAATGCTTTGGATACAGGCGCTTTTATTTTCCTTACTAGAGGGCTACGGTTCATTCCTGGCATATGTAAAGCTACCGAAGTAGTGCTCAACTTTTTTTATGTTTATTGCTTCTGAAATTGGATTTCAAGGTGATAGGCAGGAATTGAATCCTATAGATATGTGTAGTTCCGGCTAATCGCAGTAGTTGCTTCATTGTTCTGTTTGTTATTTGTTTTTGAAATGGGTATAGAGTTCTGTATGTCGTTTAGTTTGCTGAGAATGGCAACAAAAGTTGAATTAATTATGTTTGTTCAAAATTTCCAATGGAATATTTTTAATAAACGTTATTTACAGTCTATTTCGGCTAAGGGAGCAAAGCAATGGCAGCGGAGGAAAATATTAACAAATCTGAGCATAAAATTCATCGAGGTAGTATATCTTTCAGTGAAGTTTTGCATGGAAAAATTTACATTTCAATCACAGATTGACAAAATTTCTTTTGTAAGCGTAGTAACAATTTCCTGATTGTAAAATCACTTTAGTGTATATGTTAAGTTTGGCTTAGCATGATTATTTATTAAGATTCCTAAAGATTTGCATTTTAGTGCTTAATTGATACGGAGCTCTATTGCACATCGTGCAATTCATCAATTTTTTTAGTGCGTGAATGTTTTGCATTTTTATTATCAATTCATTAAAAAAGTTTGTGAGTTATCTAATGATGAATGATGCAGAGGGACATCATGAGAGCTCCTATATCTGAATAAATTTGCAAAAGTATGGTTTTTTTTTCAGTCTTCTAATATTTAGTTTCAAAATTAGTGACGCGAAACTATTTAGTTCACAAAGTTGGTGGCAAAGTGAAGAAGAAAGCTATTAAGAAGAGAAGTGGTATTAATGCAAAGGCTTTCACATTTCAGTCTGCTGTTAAAGCAAGTCGTGCCATTCGCAGGTACTTCTTTTGTTACAGTTGTGGAAATTCTCTCAGTTGGTAATCCAACTAATTTATATGAAAAGGCCTGAATTGATCTTGCAAATTTGTTCGCAGTTTATGATGGAATAGTTCTGACTTTCGTTCTGTTTTTGGAAAGTTTGTTATTGGTAGTTTTTTAGAGCAGCAGATAAGGATGAAAAGAAGAAACACATACCTGTAGTCGATCGCACTCCTGTCGATCCACCTCCAGTTATTGTTGCTATCGTTGGTCCTTCAAAAGTGAGCTTAATTTGAAATTAATTCTTTATACATTTGTTATTTTAAATAAAAGAATTAATCAGTGGACTATGATTAAAAAGATTCCCGATCATCGTGTCAGTTTGAGTTTTCTTTCACATAATATATAATTTCAATGCTTCATTTGTTAGACCTTTTCATTTAATTTGTTGTATTTTTGAAGGTTGGGAAAAGTACGTTGTTGCGATGTCTAGTAAAGCATTATGTACGACATAATTTAACTGAAATTCGCGGACCAATCACTATTGTTACTGGCAAAACTCGGAGAGTAACATTCGTTGAAATTAATAATGATTTAAACTCCATGATCGATATTGCAAAAGTTGTTGATTTGGTAAATTTTTTTTTTTTGCTACATCTACAGTTGCAAAGCATAAATTAGATTGAAAAGTATTTCGCGTGACATTATTCACCGAGATCTCTTGGTAATAATGCTTTGTCAGAAAACCTCTAAGATTCATTTGTTCTATAATTGTTTCAGAAATTGAGAGATGTTTTGAGGCTTTTCATTGTTAGATAAACAATGATTTGTTTAAGCTCGCTTGCTTGAAGTTTGTAAAATCCTTGCTGTTACATTTGGAAGCGAAAAAGTCTTATTGCTCTTGCATTTTAATAAAAAGGTATTTCAAAAAAGTAAAATTTAACAAGAGTTGTAATATTTCTTTTTCTGATACATCAAACAATCATCAACTTTTCATTTTTAACTTCCATTATTAGTCAAATAATTTTAGGTTTTATTAATGGTGGATGCTTCTTACGGATTTGAGATGGAAACATTCGAATTTTTAAATATATGTCAAGTGCATGGGATGCCTCGAATCATGGGTGTTCTTAGTCATCTTGATGTAATTAAGAAGAAGGAGAAGTTGAAACATACGAAGAAATTACTGAAACATCGTTTTTGGACAGAAGTTTATCAGGTTATTATTTTGAAAGCTTGTTATTACTTGGAGATTTATTTTGAATATGTTGAAACTCTTGAGACGAGTATTGAATTAAGTGGTGCGCTTTCTGAAAATTTTGTCATTTGTTTATAATATAGAAGCAAGTGATAAACAAAGTGATAAACAAAAACAAACAGATTAACCGCCACGGCAGAAATTTCTTCCAAAAAGACAATATATAACTCCTTTCATCATGTTATAATGAACTGATGTTATATATAAGTGTTTTATAGGATTTTGTAATCGTTTTTGCCCATTGCTACGTATTCTTATTTTATCATCAGAATATTCACAGGGTGCAAAACTATTTTACTTGTCGGGAATGATCAATGAGCAATATTTAAAAAATGAAATTCGAAATCTCGCACGTTTTATATCGGTCACGAAGTTTCGTCCTCTAGTTTGGAGAACAAGCCATCCATATGTTTATTGTGATCGTTACGAAGATTTAACTGATCCACAGGTATATTAATATAACAAGAGATAAAACTCTTCTGTTATCTTGACTAACTTCTGAATCTAAATATTAAATTCATGAACCTCGAAAATTGCATTACTAAAAAATTGTGAGCTTTTATATATTATATGTTAGATATAAACAAAAATTAAGAAACAATTTATTTTTGTTACATGGAGCTCACGATTATTAATTTCGAAATATGATTGTACTGACAGAATTATAGAAGTTCTCTGCAATTCAAGAATGATTGACAAATTATTGTATATACTTGATTATTCATCAACTTGAAATTAACTATTTCAATCATTTGAAGCTACTTCGCGAAAAACCATTAGCGAACCGCACGATTTCATTATATGGTTGGGTGCGTGGGACGTTTCTCAAAAATCATGCTGCTGTGCATATCCCTGGGATAGGCGATTTAATGATCAAAGATGTATGTTTGGATTTTCTTGCAATTTAACTAAGTATATTTTTTCACTTATATAATCTCATTGTTTGGGAAATGACAATATCCCGGAAGTACTTAGCAAAAATAAGATTGTAATTAACATTTCAATCACTTATTATAGGTGACGGCTTTACTTGATCCATGTCCGTTGCCATCAAAAGAAAAGATGAAACGCTCGTTGAATGAAAAAGAGCGTGTTATTTATGCTCCGTTTTCTGGTCTTGGTGGTGTCGTTTACGATAAAGTAACTTTTCGTTGCATTTTTTTCTTTTCATATCAACAATGAAGAATTTTAATATCTTTATCCACACATAATTTGTCACTGCTTTCCTCAGTAAATATGATTGTCCCGAAGTTTTTTAAGAAGCTGTAAAAGGGATAATTTGGACAGGCAATTTTTTTCCGTATATGATGAGTGGGAAGTGAAAAATCCAATGTTAGGCGGCAGCAGTTTACTAAAATTCTTGCTGATGGCTACGAAACCAACAGAATTCTCAAGCTGTGTTATTTTGAAAAAATATTTTTAATATTTACGGAGCCTTTCTGAAGGTTTTCTAATTATTTCAACCATTTTGCGTCGTTATAATAATTTTTGACGTTTATCGGACATGAATTTTCTTCTTCAGTCATATAGTTCGTGCACAGCTTTTATGTTTCAAGCAGCTTTTTACTTCAGGATGCTATTTATTTGGAAACAGGTGGCTCACATTCATATAAGAAAGCTCGGCACGAACTCGTTGAAGTATTGGAAAATGTTAAGGAGGGTATCGATGATAAAATGCACAAAACAGCATTGAAAGTGGTTGAGAATTCCCAAATTGCCATACCTCATAATGAGAGTGAAAGCGAAATGGATTATGATGGTAAGAAGTTATGGTTGATTTATTCAACGAGTTCAAAGGATAATTTCATAAACTTTGGTTATATATGAATGGTTCACATCAGCCATTAACTTTTTAACCAGATATTTATTATGATTAGATTCTAATACGAAAGACGAAGTGGAAAGCAATGGTGAAGAATCAAGTTATTCTGTGGATTTAGACGTTGAAAATGATGCGTCCGATGATGGAAGGAATGAAACAAATGCTAAAGAAAAGACAGTTAAGCGTTGGTCTGAACTTTGTACACGAGCAAAATTATTGTACAGCGACAAAAAATCAACGAGGCTGAATTGGGCCAAAGTCGTATATTCTGATTCAGGTTAATTTTTCCTACGCAGTAATAAATACATGGTGTACGTAAATATTTTTAAGTCCACTTTTGTTATTGGTTCTTTTCTTTCTAGATAACAACCACTCTTCTCGTTCATACATATGTTGTGTTATCTGTACGTAGGACTGTGATGGATTAAAAAAATTTTTGAAATTTAATACGAAACTCCAGCTATTGAATGAAAGATGAATGATATCGCAATATATTCACTTTTATTATCAGATCTGGATGACCAGAATGAAGAAGAGCAAAATCAAATACTTGGCGGCCTTTTCAAAGTTTCAACTCGAACTAAAAAAACTATTGATAACTTGGTTAGTTTTGTGAAGTCATCGTTTCAGGCAGTTGGGATGTTATTCTTTTTGCTACTTTTCGGTCCGAAGTTAATGAAATGCATAAGCATAAGGAATATTTTATTAATTACTGCTAGTTTTTCGTTACAGGAGGATGGCCTTCTTTATTATAAACCATCAACAGTTATATCTGAAGAGCTTTTAAAACAGCGAGATTGGAACGATTTGGAGGTTTGTTCATAATGTCAAATGTTTAGTTCGATGTAAACTATATTGATTTTATTATTTCTGTGAGTTTGCTCAAAAAAGTCAAAATGAATTATCTGGTATAATTGAAGTTTTTTTTATTCTCTGATTACATTAAGTTTGGTTTTATTTAGGTTCGTGCATCGATTGCGGACTGCTTTGTTACGGGAAACTGGAATTCTGATGAAGATGCTGCTAAGCAGTTAGAAGGTGGTGATTTTCTGAAATAAAATTGTAGAAATAGAATGAAATAGATGTTATGCAGCAGTTCCGAGGAACACTGCGTTTGTTTTTCGGTGTAACGTCGATTTCTTCGAATATTGCTTCGTCACCTGGTAACCAACTTTCTTTTCAGAAAAGCATATTTATGGCGAAAGAGGAAATTCTGTCGTAAACGATGAAGGTGATGGTACTTCTAGCGAAGGCAAGTGTTGTTTCTTCCTTATCAGATGATTGTTTAAGTTTTATAATTTGTTTTTTTTTACAGATGGTGAAGACAAAACTGACCATAGTGATAAAACTGAAGAAAAGACAGATGCTATAACAGTAGCGAGGACGAGTGAGGAGGAGGCATCTAAAAGAAGAAGAATTGATAAAGAAAAATTGAAAATGCGTTTCAACGCTGAATATGATGAGACCAATAAACATTACGTGCAACTGAAAGAGGAACTTGAAGAGCAGTCGAAAGTGTGCTATATTTTTGCTTCTAGCATTTGTCACATAATCGAATTTAATTTGGTGTAAACCAAAATAAGCTATTTATGGTAGTCATATATCTCAATTAAGAAATTAGGGACAAAATTATTGTCACTGTAGAATCGAAGAAAAACTTTTGACAATTTGGATTACTGATCTATTTCAGCTTAATAAATCAGTCTTCGAAGAATTGGATGAAGCGACTCGACAACAGTTAGAAGGTTTCCGACCAGGGCTTTATGTTCGAGTAGAGTTAGAGGATGTACCTGTGGAATTTTTACAGCATTTCGATCCAACCAGACCCTGTATTATAGGTGGCCTTCTGACTGGTGAACAGAATATCGGTTCTGTACAAGTAGATTTTTGTTTTTTTTTTTGTCATAAATGATTCTTGTGTTGTATTTCACTATATCATTGGTTTTTATTACTTACAAATATTTATATTGAAATTTTGATTCTAGGTACGGGTGAAGAAACACCGATGGTATGAGCGGTTATTGAAGTCACGAGATCCTTTGATCATATCATGTGGTTGGAGGCGATTTCAAACTGTTGTTAGTTATTTTCTATGTTTTTTCCTGAATTTGTAAATTATATCATCTGACTGCAAAATATTCTCGCAGTAATCGCGTTATTGCAAAATTCAAAGAATTTAGAGTCTTAATGTGAAAATTTGCTAATTTAAAATAATTCTGAAACCTAAAATAGCTTGTTTTTGATAATGGTTTTTCTTGGTTTTCTTTTGATAATATTAAGCTTGGCATTGTTCCGAAAAATGTAAATAATGATAAGCTTTCAGGTCATATATTCAATGCAGGATCATAACATGAGGCAGCGTTTCTTAAAATATACACCAGAGCATATGTTTTGTCAAGCAGTCTTCTGGGGGCCAATAACAGCGCAGAACACGGGATTCCTTGCAGTACAATCGCTAAATAGAGATATGGTTTGTAAATGATATATATTGAGCTGAACTAAATATGATTGAAAAAGTCATATTCAAAAAAAATTTAGCTTTCCTTATATCAAAAGAAATTTAATTTGTGATCCTTATCACAAATTAAATTTATATTTTGGAGAGGAATTTATTTAAATTGCAAAAGATTTCATAGAAATAACTCACTAAATATCTTACAATTGACTCATCTTTATCTTTTTTCAGAAAGGCTTTAGGATTGCCGCAACAGGTGTTGTATTGAATCTGGATAAAGCCTTCCAAGTTGTGAAAAAACTAAAACTAATTGGTTATCCTTACCGAATATTCAAGAAATCGGCTTTCATTAAGGTTTCATAGTATTTTTTCGGAAGTTAATATGCTTGTTTACTGTTCACTGTTTCACGTTTGTCGTGCGTTTAAGACAGTTTCTGAAAACGAAACTGCATTGTTTTTGTAAATATAAATATTTGCTTGTTTTTGAGAAAATAAATAATTGCACGTTTCTATATAAATTCACTGCTTCAGGGAATGTTCAACACTGTCTTAGAAGTAGCAAAATTCGAAGGTGGTGTTATACGCACAGTTAGTGGTATTCGTGGTCAAATCAAAAAAGCGTTACACGAGTCTGCGGGTGCGTTTCGAGCAACTTTCGAAGACAAAATTCTTATGAGTGATATCGTTTTCCTTCGTGCCTGGGTAAGTAAAAACACTTTGTCCTTATCTTAAATTAAATATTCATTTAAAAATTGCTAATAAAGTGGACATTGCTTTTGTTTTCTCCCTTATAAGTAAGACTGCATTACTTTAGTACTGCATTACACTTTGTTTCCAGGTATCTGTGCCTGTCCCTCATTTCTATACTCCTGTAATAAACCTGCTATTATCATTAAACCAAGAATGGGAGGGCATGCGAACAGTAGGTCGTTTACGTTTTGAAATGGGTTTGAAACCACCGATGAAGATGGATTCAGTTTACAAAGTAAGAACTTTATTTTCGAGAATTTTTTTAGCAATTTTTATTTAGTTTGGGAGTATTTTTGTGATGAAACGTTTTTACTTCATCAATTCTGATCTATTTGCAGCAAGTTGAAAGACGACCGTTTGAGCCTGCACCGTTATTTATTCCAAAAACACTCCAGAAAGAACTACCATATCGACTAAAACCAAAAGTTGTGAAAGAAATAAAAAAGAATGGTGACAGACTTGTAGAAAAGCATAGTTCAATTATACTAGAACCACATGAAAGCAAGGTGATCTTGTATTTCTTGTACTGATTTTTATGTTAAGCAATTTCAAAGTCAATTTCAAAATGATTATGAATTAGTAATCTTTAACAGAACTTTAGATAAATCGGTTCATGGAAATACTTGGTACGGTACATGCTGAAAAAGTGAAGACGGAGAGAACAGCAATGGAACAGCGTG